AGGAGGAAGGGGGAGGAGCGCCAGGGGTACTTACCTGGCTATGGTGGCAGCCATCTTCATCACCTTGGTGGGCGCTGCAGCAAGGAGTCCCCAGCAGGGGGGAGCTACACCAAGAAGCTTCAAGGCAAGGCTGGGCATGGCGGCCTGAGCTGGAGCAGCCATAGCTGCTCTGGGTTGTCCTTTGGACGTCGGTGCAAGGCCTAGTAGTCCGCCATAGCCTCGGCCTATGTGTGTGAAGAGTGGGGGAGACAGCCATGGCTATGGTGGACCTTGAGTGATACCTGCAGTAGAAAAGGGACTCATATATTCTGGACCAGTCATTCAACATTGTATTATTATTTCTTGTATGAATAAGAGAAGGGGGAGATAAGGAGGAGGAGATTGTTGGGCGAAGAAGAAGAGCCTTGTCATTGTCTTTGCTGGTGTACATCTCCTTCTTCTTCTTCTACTCCTCTCTCACCTCTCAAGTTCATTCATTTCTTTCTGTAATTGGATGAAATTGTACTTTCCAGTGGATGTGTATCTCGAAATTGGCCAGGGTCATAACACATTGATAATTTCGCACTTCAAGGGAGGTTGGGAGACCTACTGAACTTGCAAAACTCGGGATTTTTTTTTTCTCGAAATTTTTTTTTTGCAAAGTTCAAACTTTTCTTTTTTTTGATTAGTGGCTCCTTATCTGGGCAATTATCCCACCCACCCCTCCCCACCTATGTTGTTACCACCTCTGGTCTTATCTTCTCTATCTGCAATGAGCCCAGACGTGATGATACTCGTCAACATTACCAGTCCMTATGATTATCGATCTGCTGATGAATGACAAACAATCGCAAATGTGTGTGATGATAGAATGAGATGAGAATCATACACAGACGAAGGAGGAGAGAGGGAGAATAAACAAAGGAGAGGGATGAAGACAACAGCCCACTTCTACTTCGGGTTCCTCCTCCTCCTCGCCACCTCATCAATCAATAGACTGAATACAATGTCTGAAGTTCTTCCTCAAG